AATATACAAATACTCTGAGAGAGAGTTGGAGATCTAGAAATATAATTGGTTCTTTTCAGCGCCAGAATACAAATAAAGTCTATGTTACAATTAGACTATTGGAAAGTCTAGTTAAGTACACATTGAAGAACCTTTTTCAAGGGCAATTAGGTTGAGAAGACCAAGCCTTTTCCACAGCATGAAGGGAACAGCCATACAGACATCTGCTGCTCAAGTACTTGTTTAATTAGCTTGAATAGCTGCAGCAATCGCTTCATCTATGATACATCATCTTAAAAGTGGTGAGAGGATTGCTCATATACAGCATATAATTCAAGCTAGATGCCCTGAAAGGCAGCATAAGCTAGAGGAAATGACCAAGGATTGTGAATATTTAATTTAAACAATAAATCTAAGACAAAAGCAGGAAAGGAGATAAGGTGATCTTAGAGCATCCTTTGACCATGATCTGCACTTTGGGTTATAAACTACAGTGTCCATTTCCTATTTTCTATTCTATTTATTTACCTTATTTATATCCCGCCTTTCTCTACCCTGAGTGGGACTCAAGGCGGCTAGTGGAAATTATACCAATAGTGAAAAGGATTTTCTTCTGCAGCCCATCATGGCTCAAACATGAAGGTGATGCAGAAGGAAGTAAAGTCTCATTAGATGCTTGGAAGTCTGCTTGTGTGATCCTGGATAATAAAAAGATGAAACTAGGAGGCTGAGGACTCCATTATTTCTATCACCAAATGCTATAGATTTTCAGAGACTCCTTTCTCATCTGGAATTGCTCATAGTTGAAAATACTTGTGAAGAATTGAAAGTTGTGATCATAGAATCCTTTTTTTTGTATTAGAATGAGGATCATCATTCTGAATAAGGCAGTTGCAAGCTGTAGAGGATTATATTGTATGGGAGAAAACAAAGATGTAAGATGTTAAGAATTTCCCTGTTATCTTGTACCCTTCTCCATTCCTCATGTACTTTCAGTAAAAATATATGGGAAAAAGAGAGTTGTGGCTGATGCTTTGACAAATCTTACACTTTGTTCACATTGTATTAAAACATGGCCAATGGCAATACCTCCCAAGTAGATCTGAGCATCTTGAGACTGAGGAAGAGGTGATATTTAGCAAATCTGATCATATTTGGTTCTTCTTTTGTAATAGCTTATTCATAAACTGTGCCCTTTCTACCATTGGTTCTTTTCCACTGAGCAGATATGTGAGAATAGAAACTACTACAGATCAATGCAGGTGCAAGTTTTGTTCTATTTATACTTATATACATAAACCACAAATCTAATTATAACTTCCATGATCTTTCTTCTGCATTAGACTCTCTCTTTTGCCTCCCATGAGGAACTACACTTGTACAATTTTCAAGTTGGCACACACCCAATAGAAGAGAGAATAATTCCTATTGTGCATAGAAATCAATTTCCACAGTTGGCATGTCAAATCCCATTATGCCTGTTTGCATGCGTAAGGGTTGTCTGATACCTCATTTTGTGAGAATAGTGAAATTACACCCATCAATATGATGCTTTCTCAAACATGTTCAAACAAAAGCACACACAACCACTGCTTATATGCATTTTTGTACATGTAAAAATACCTGTGTTCAGCCGCAGCAATTATTTCTCTTTTGTTCATGAATTATGGTGCAGGAATAGTACAATACTTCAGAGGCTGTCAAATTATAGTTCCCAGGATTCCTCACCATTGGCTATTCTGGTGAAAGCCACTTGAGTTGCAGTCTAAACATAAGTCTTTATGATGCCTAACCATGCATAACGGGATAGAGATCAGCACTTGAAGTTTTAAATAAATAAATAAATACATTTTTTTAAAAAAGATGTACTAGTTTTACTTAGCGAAAAGAGAGAATCAAAGTAAAATATATGCTGTAATTCAACACATAATCATCACATCCGTATAATCATTGCACCCTGTTTTTCTGTTCAAAAAAAAGATTTTTAGCTTTTCTTTGTGTAATTGTTGCATGGTTAATTCTGTTAATCCATGGCAAGAAGTGGTTTAAAAGATCATGGGGTTCCCTTGAATGGAGCAATTAAAAGGGGTGGTATTACCAATGAAAGAAGTGATTGTGGGAGTCCCATTGAAAGAAATTGTTTAAGGACCATATGTGTTCCATTTCTCTACATTTTCTGTGTTGATGTTTTTGTTTTTATTACTATACTGAATTTTAAGTATTGTAATACTTAAAATTGTAAATTAAAAAATTGTAAATTAAAATTGTAAATTAAAAAAAACTTCACATAATGGTTGCATCCCATATTTTGGACCAAAAATTGCATAAAATTTGCAGAGATTCTGCTGTGGAATATGGTTCTCCTGGTCAAATCCTGAATCTGATCAGAGCAAGGTATGTAAAAGGCATTTCCCCCTCTGGATCAGCTGAAACTGTGAACAACAATTTTACTTTGTGTCAGTCCTCCGCCCACATTTAGCAGAGAAAAAGCGAAGAAAATGGAACAATCTAAATTCAAGTGCTAGTTGTGGAATGAAAAATCAACAGTTATCTCATGCATGCATATTTCACAGCTTATGGCACCCAGCACTGAGCGAGCTCACAAAGGCAATGTCATGTTTGTTTATTCTGTTGGCCACGGGATTAGGAATGGCTGCTGAAAAAATTACATATTATTGTTGCTTGGTGAATGAGATAGTGACCCTTCTTTTCTTTATTCACCTTTTTTTTTACTTTGTAGAAGGAAATCTCCAAAACAAAAATGATTGTATCAGATGCATATAAATTCCCATCAAAACACATGTATGGAGTTTATCTTGAAAAATATTTGCACACCAAATAACAGTAAATCCAGATAAATGAATGGAAGTGACTTTCATTTCTAGCACATGATGCAACAGGAATCTATGAATGCATGGAGTTAAAGTAAATGTTGGAAACTTGGAAAATCAGTACCTGGATTTGAATTTGATAATGATATGCTATCTCTTTAGAGAACTAAATTAATAGAGTATTGTTAGCTTTTACAATCACTAAACCATTTTAGCACTTCAGCCCTAAAACTATAATATTTTCATAAACTTCAAAATTGAAGGCAAGAAAAAAAATATTGTTTTCCTTACTTGAAGAAAGTTGTCACAAGCCATGTGAGGTTTAAAGACTATTTACACATTAGTACTTACTCTCTGTTTCTTTTTTTAAAAAAATGCACATTTTTTTTTTTGTATTGTGGATGGCATTTTCTGCACAAAAGGTTTCTTGCACAGAAAACAAATTTCATTCTCAGGAATAGCTGATCCTCCAGAAATCTATTTTTAAAAATGGGAGAAAATGTTTTCATTTATACTGCATAAATAGCCTAATCAGATCTGAATTTAAAAAGCTAAGCAGGGTCAGGCCTGTTCAGGATTTGGATGGTGGACCACCAAGGAATACCTGGTGCTGTAGGCTATATTTCAGAGTACCCACGAAGAGCTACTATATGAATTGAACATTTGTCAAATTAACGATTCAATTTCATAAATGTTTAATTTATGTAGTAGCTTTTCGTTGATACTAATGGATACTTGAGGGCTTAGTAGAATGTCATCTGGGAAGAAATAATAATAGTATGACAAAAGCAAGAGAACATATTTTGAATCTGATAATTTTCTTTCAAAAAAGACTTAAAGTCAAAAAGAAAGATAATGTAGTAGTAGTGTAATGAGAAACCCCCCCTCCCTCCCTTCACTCCTTCCCTCCCTCCCCTCCTTTTTTGCTTGGAATGAAGTAACGGATCTTTGATCTTTGTTAAATCCAGGACATTCCTAACCTACTTTGTGTTTTATGGACACACTTTATTTTAAAAACCCAAGAAGCCACTATTTCAACAAAGTAGTAGAACATTTATAGGTTTAGCAGCACAGCTAGAGAAGACACGTGTTCTTTTCCTTTTTGACCAAACAAAAGAGAGAATAGCAACAAAAAGATATAATAGCTGCCAGAGAAATTGAGGTTGTCCAAACTAATTCTGTGTAGGATGGGAACATAGATCAATTCCTTCACTGATGTACCTTAAGGGTATGGGAATGAGGCTTGGTCTGGCCTTAAGGACTGCATCAGCTAAAGCTATGAACTGAACTCAGAGACTACATTGACTGTAAAGTATGCCTTGGGCTCTCTTTTATTATTATTATTTATTAAATAAGGAAGGGTATTCCCCTCCCTATAAGAAGTTCTATAGTTTTATTACTTATTACACAAAAAATTTTTTTACAGCTTTTCGCTTTCAAAACATGCCTCTAGCTATGATCAATGGAAAATATTATAATACAACTTTGGCCTTCAGAGCATTGCTAGAGATTCAGAAAGTGAGAATTTTTCTCATTACTTGTTTCTTGTTGTTTTCTAGATGCAGAACCAAGAATTAATTTTTTGGGATCTCTTTTGTCTTGTCTACATTCTTGTCTAGAAAAGATCTTCTATCTCATGTTTGATACTAACTCTATGGAAACTCACAAGTTTTCTCTGTTGTCCAAGTTTCATCACTGACATTGTAGTTGATTGTACTGGGGATGTCCCTATCTAATTTTAGTTATATTCAAGTGTTTTATCCTATTGAATTTTAAATAAATATTTTAAATTAATATTCTATTTATTTTATGTTCTACATTTTAATTGTACTAACTTGTTTTTATACCAATGTCCTGTGCTCCAAGCGTAATTAACTACTGATACTTAAAGTACACAAAGGAATTCAACCTGGAGCATTCTACCTTCAAAGTGTGTGTTCTAGCATGAGCTATTGTTATACCAGTAAGAATCAATCTTTTTTTATTCTTCTTTTATTCATTCATATCCAACCTTTCTCCTGATAATGGGACTTAAGGTGTCTAACAAAATATTAAAACAATATGAGTTAAAACAATAGAAAGTCAATAGAAGTATAACATAAGATGTAAAAAAGAATCAAACACTTTATGTTAAAAGCAGTAAATATTAACATATTAAAATGTGTGCATCTCCATTCAATGAACTTTTACCTGATTGTGATCGGCACAAGAGCATCACTGTTAATGGAGTGGTTGGTGGCCATGGTCAGAATCTCCTCTGGATTGCCATAACCAACCCGAAGAGTTGGCCTTCCATGCAAAAGGTAAAGGTGGAGGAAGTGTTCTCCAGCATAGCTGCCTCTGGCTTTAAAGACAATAAAGTTATAATTATTGAATAGCCCTGGAAAAAATAAACAAATATGAAGAGGCTGCAGTAGGCTATTGCAGTTTGGAGTGAATTTACAAGAGCTTCCACAAACTCTTGTTTCACTTGTGGTTTTTAACTTCCTTGGAGTGGGATAATATTTGTTTCCCAATTCACTGTAAGAACCATGTAACAGTGGAATGAACTGCTTCAGAGGGTTGTGGATTTCAAAATATGTCATGACGGACATCTTTCAGGAGTGCTTGACTTATGTATTCCTGCATAGCACGGGATAGGACTAGATGGCCCTTCTGATTCCTACCAACTCTACCATCCAATGATTTTATTGCCTGGCAAACCTCAAGTGTATACTGATCCTACTGATCCCACCATCTTAAGTGGTGTCTACATGAGTGTGTAGTTGTGGATACATCCATATGAGCACAGGAAACTGAACTGATGTTAGAAGGAATGGTACCCAGAAAAGCCAGTCAGGGTAAATGCCATTCTAGAAAGCTCAAATTCGCCACACAGGTTACTGATTATCTTCTTCCAGTGAATGTTCTATGATGGTCAGCACAGATTATTCTCTTTGGACACTCCTGCTTTCAGGCATGATGATTATGCAGTGATGATTGCGAAACCAAGCTAATGAGGTTTGCACATAAAGCCTCCAGGACCCAGACTGATTTTTACTAATGTGATTATAACTGAGCTAAGGGCTATGTCTATATAAAGGGTAATCAAAAGCCAGTGCTTCTGCTGAATTTCCTCTCTGGTCTGAATGCCCTAAGGGTGTCAGATTCTGTCTCATCTTGGAAGCTAAGCAGGGCTAGCTCTAGTTATTTCTTGGATGGGAGACTTTCAGTGAATACCATGTGCTTCTGGCTGTATTTCAGAGGAAGGAACTGAGGAGCATCACTTCCTAAGAAAACCCTATGAAATTCATGAAGTTGCTGTAAGTTGATTTGTAATCTGAAGACACATACATACAGAAAAAAAGGTTTCCCCTTGACATTAGTCTAGTTGTGTCTGACTCTGGGGGTGGTGCTCATCTCCATTTCTAAGCTGACGAGCTGGCGTTGTCCATAGACGCCTCCAAGGTCACATGGCTGAATTTAAAAATCTTACACATAAATCCCACATCCACAACGCTTCTGGACCCATAATTTTTTATATGGGATACCCAATGTGTACCTTCCTTTCAGGAGCAGGAATTGTGTATTTGTGTAACTTTCAGCATGGGAAGAAGGAACCAAGAATCATTCAGAGCATAGAACTAAAGTAATATCATTTCCTATATTCTTAGGCTAGTTTGCTTGTAAAAATTTATAGCATACTTTGCTTCTAGCAGCTTCTGTTGCAAACAAGATGAGCTACTGTATCAAATACATACAGTAGTTTGGGAACATCAAGACCAACAAATTGATCTGTTGCTTATTAGAGTACAGACGCTCCCAGTTACGAACATCCAACTTACAAATGACTCATAGTTACAAACAGGGCTGACATAACAGGAAATGAGAGAAATCTACCCATAAGAAGGGAATTTCACTCCTGAAAGAGCCATCATGGGGAAAAGGGGTCTCCACCGAAACTTTATCACCAATCCTTATTTCTCCAACAAGGCATTTTTTTTTCAAAATCCAGTTTTCACAGGGACAGAAAGTGAGGTTAAATTTTTTGAACAGAGGCACAGACAGCAAAACAAACACTGCAGGGGTGTCATCCAAAGTTTATACACGCACACACACACACACACACACACACACACGTTCTAACTTACAAACAACAACTTAAGAATAAACCTACAGAAACTTTCTTGTTCATAAGTTGGTGACTGCCTGTAACTGGTTCTAGTGTCTTTTAGTGTCAGTCACTGTATGTTTCAAATATTAGAAGGTTTAGTTCTCTTTGCCCAATGATTGGTATATTAGACATTTCTGGAAGGCTTTGGATAACAATATTTATCAACTGGTCTCTCAAAGATTTTCACAGTCTTTTGGGAGCCTAAATTACTGTTGCCATGCTCTCTTCTTTTAAGATTTCAAAAAGAAATACTTCTAATAACTGAATAAAGGTACTCTTGTCACTGCATTTCAGAAAGTGCTTGATAATGCATTGGAGTGGCTTGGCTGGCCCTTCTTTCTCAATTAGGTTTTGTTCCTTTAGGCTACACAGTAATTTTCTATGAGTTGTGAATCTTGTATACTTTCCTCTTCTCCTTCTCTTTCCAAAATAGCCAATCTATTCTTTTGACAGCTGGTATATAAACAACAATCATTTAAGTTCCTGTTACTCTTGTTACTTCCAAATAACTGATCAGCAAAGACCATGTTAATAAAGATGTCAGATTTAAAAGTGCTTCTCAACAGTGATTTGAAGCCATTGAGTAAAGTGGCCCAGTTCAATTTATTGTGGCGGTAATCTACCCACAATCAATAATGTTCTATTTTGAAATAATAATGGTTCCGATAAGAACATTTTTCTCCACAAAGTCAGTAAATGTGACAGATGGTTTAAAATCATTTGCCTTTATATATACATACTTGTTAAACTTTACGACAACAACTGAAAAGTAAAGTGCTAAATCAGTCACCTTTTTTCAATGTATTCTACTATACTGACTGTGGACTAAGAAAAAATTAGGTAATGGCTAAAATAACCTGGGACAACTGGGCACTGAGGTAGTTACATGGGGACAGATCAAAAGATAAGTTACTTCTCTACACAGGTTACTTTTAGCATCAATGTTGTTGTTATGGGTCTTCAGGTCATTTCCAAGTTATGGCAAGCCTAAGATGAATGCATCATAAGGATTATCTCGGCAAGATTTGTTCAGATAGGGTTTGTCATTACCTTCCTCTGAGAATGTTTCTTACTCAAGATAACTCAGTATGTTTTCATGGCTGAACAGGAATTCAAATCCTAGTCTTCAGAATCATAGCCCAACACTTGAACCACTACACCACAGTGATTCCCCTAGCATTACTCTAAGGACATTATCATACTATGACTCTATTCCATGGCAGTTGCATGATCACCTACAGCAGCAATATAGTGGGATAAGCTCCCTTGCTATTTCACAGGTCTGTGCTAGCACAACTGTGCTGATTTGCCAGTTCATTGTCTTGCAGTCGGACTTCCACATAACCTTATAATTCTGCTCCCCTGCACTTTTCAAAACAATTTCACAATTCCATCTGAGGTTATTTTAATTTTTTAAATAAATCTTAAAATAAAAAAATACTGCCTAGGGAATAGTAACGGGAAGTGGAGAGCAAGAGAAGAGGAGAATCCTCCTCTCTGATGTTGCTTCATTCCGGGCATGCCAGAAGTGGAATGGCTCCATTGTACCAGGTTAGAGATAGAAACTTGGAACAATCTCCCATCACTAACAGGAGATGAGTTTATCATGGAGAGGAGGCTGACCTGCAATGGGATGTTCCCAGTATTGTAGGATAGGACTTTGTTTGCTTCAGACACTGGCCTCAGAAGTAGTGGGAACTTAGCTGTCCTGCTGATAAACGACAAGATCTTTACTTTCCAAAATTCATATTTTGCTGAGAAATCACCATGGACAAAAATAAAAGTTATTAAACTAAAATCTTCATAGATGTATCCATCATTACATCATTCCTAGATTTTCAGAGGACTGGGAAAAGGAAGATTCATACTTTATCCAAGCATGAAAAACTTCAGACAAAGAAATCCTCTCATTCATGTGCATAGTCAGAATACAGAGACAGGCACACAAAATGTATGGATAAATTATGTGCCACCTTCTCAAATACACAGCTCTAATCTGCAGCAGGGATGTTCAGTGTGGTACTGTATATGCTGAAGCAGGTGTAATCTTGTCTCTTCTCCTTCATGGAAAAGGAAAACTGAATCTCAGGAATTAAGGCAATACATTGCCCCAAGGAAGCAAGTTATGAACTCAAGATATATTTCATATGATTGCATTTTTGAGGAAAAGAACTAAAAAAACACAGGAGACATTCTGGAAACATTTAAAATATTAGGGGATTTTGGGTTTTTTAGTATTCCATATTTTGGTGTTGATACACTGTGAGTTTCCTCTACTGAGTGTGGTGGCCCCTGGGGCCATCTGGATTATGTCTGTTCCGAATTTATTGGTAGACATGACCTGAAATTGGCATCTTCCTTGAAGGTATTTTGTTGTACAGGGTTAGTCAAAATGAATAGGCCAATAAGAAAATTAATTTTAGACGAATGTATGTTTATTGTAACCAAACTACAGCTACGTAGCGACAGATAAACTATCAAAGTTTTGTCTCACCTTCAGAGATGTTCGATATGGGCGCCCCGTGTGACACGGCAGATGTCCAAGCGATAGTCCAGTTCATTCCACATCCGTTGCAGCACATCCGACGTAATGGCATCGAATGCAGCAACGTCTGGGAAGGTGTTCGTTGAGGTCCTAACCCTAACCCTAACCCCCCTAACCCTAACCCTAACCCTAACCCTAACCCTAACCCTAACCCTAACCCTAACCCTAACCCTAACCCTAACCCTAACCCTAACCCTAACCCTAACCCTAACCCTAACCCTAACCCTAACCCTAACCCTATCCCTAACCCTAACCCTAACCCTAACCCTAACCCTATCCCTAACCCTAACCCTATCCCTAACCCTAACCCTATCCCTAACCCTAACCCTAACCCTTGAAATTCTCGCTGGACCGTAATTACTGACATTGTTTTAGCAAATGTCATCACACAAAACGCCTTCTCTTTGCTTGATTCCGCCATTTTGAAAACAGCGACCCCTAGCGACGCCTAGCGGCATTAACGTACATGTGTGTTGCTCAAAAAAAACTTTGATAGTTTATCTGTCGCTACGTAGCTGTGGTTTGGTTACAGTAAACATACATTCGTCTAAAATTAATTTTCTTATTGGCCTATTCATTTTGACTAACCCTGTATTATAAATATGTTGTACTATGTTTAGGCAGGCATTTCTTTCATGAGTTTTTC